AATTGATAATGATAAGTTGGCAAATTAACATGATGAAAATGCATATTTTTAAATATCCCATATCATTTATTACCTTTTTTAATGTAGTATGCAAACATTGTTGAAGTTTCAAAAGGTACCATCCATTCCACAGTCAATGCAGTTTATACATGGAAACGAAGCTGCAAAAACAGCATGTTTTGAATTCACAGATGTTTTGATGTCACAAAAAACAACACATTAACATATATCCACCTATTCAACCAATAGCCAATTAGCCCCACCCATTCACATTGAAGTTATAAGGAGTGTTTCGGCCCAGACTGCTGTTTCAGGGAGGATACCTTGCAGCCAATCAGACTAGAGATTTTTAAATAAAAATATTTTTTAAATAGCTTCTTTTTTTACCTCTTTCACGATTTTTTGAAAGGCTATGCATTGTTTGTTACTGTTTCTTTCTATTTTCATATCTATTGTTTGGCCTATTTTAAGTCCTCTGATTACTCAGTTACTCAGTAAAATAATTGGTAGATTACCCAATTACTAATATAATAAATAGTGACAGCTCTAAAAGCAGTAATGTTGTGTGGAGAGGAGGCAGGTAGAGAGTGAGCTGAACATTCACAGTGTGAAGGTCACCTTGAACCCTAATCCTCCCCCCACCTTCCCATGATTCCTGTGGAAAATGGAGCCCAGTGGTGCCCACAGGTTCCCGTCGCTAACCGCTCATTTTGTAGCAATTAGCATCGCTCTGCATGACTTCTCCCTGCAGGCCTCCAGAGCTAAATAGAAAGAGAACAGAAAGAGAAAGAGAGGGGAGAAACGGAGGGAGAGAGAGAGAGTGTTGCTCTTTTCTCCTTCCGCTCTGCCTCTGACAGTCTGGAGTAAGACTTTGTTCCTACGCGTGTGCCTGACTTTGAAGTGATGTAATGCCGGCTGATGTGTTGCGTTGGTGCTGAGAACTTCCTTCCTCGCTGCTTTTTTTTCTCGCTTGTAGAACTGTCTTCAATGAAAAGCTCAAAATGATGCTGGATATTGCGAATAACAAGACACTGTCTTCTCGCATTTGTGAAACAGGCTTAATTTAACAATGGAAATGGCTCTGCTTTCTGACTACAGCTGTTCTTTCTTCCCCCATCTACCTCCATCCTATTTTCCTGTTTTTTTGTTTTTCTTCTTGAAATGGGGCATAAAAGTGAGTGTTGTTCTCATTTAAGTGTTTTCTTGCCACTGGCTGCACCTTTGTAAGTGCAGGCATGCACATCGACAAACCCTTCATTCAGAGAGAGAGCATCTTTCATGTTTTTTTTCTCTCACTGAGCCCAGCTGGGGTTTTCATCTGTCTCCGAATTTCCCCACTCCCGTCTGCTTTGAGCAACAGCAGAGCTGGCTATGAAATGTCTTTTTCTATTATTTGTGATGCAACTCTATTTTCGCTTTATTTTAAGCAATATTCCAACATACTTTTTAGCCTCATTTGTTCCAATAAAAGTACCAGTGGAGGTACTGTCTTTAACATTGGTCCGTGACATGACATGCATTTTTTGTGTCTATTATTTTCCTATTAAATAATTCAATAAATATCTATTAAATTTCCAATGCATCAAAGTAAAATTTAGGCATTTATTGCTCCCAAAGTCTGTAATTGTCAGGTTTGAATACCCCAGTCAAATTGCATGTGTGCATCATTTTCTAAGTGAAAATAAGTCCATACATCCTCTACTTTGAACTATTCTAAATATGGCATTTTCCTGCACATTTTAGTGCATAATTTAAAAATAAAACATAAATGTTAAAATATGTCATTTTGCACTTTATTAGAGGCCACATTTTGTTTTGTTTTTTTTAATATGTGAAATTCAGCAAATAAAAAACAGTTGTGCATTAAAATGTGCAGAAGCAAGTTGACTGTAGAGGGTGTTTACTTCTATTTACATAGGAAGTCAACAAAACATGAAATTGGGGTGCCCAAATTCGATATCGAGATTGGTATCAAATATACCGTGCTTATTCACTTGTACTCAGCTTCAGAAAAATGCATCTATACTAGCATCCGATACCATCTGATACTGTGTGACATAAGCCCAGCGTACACCGCCACGCTAAAGAACAAACGATTGAAATGAGGGTCTGCTCACACAGAAATGTGTTGCTGACGGCAGGGAGATTCAACACAAAGTCACTGGTCAATTCACACATTCCGCCTTGGCATTATTTTCCTGCCAGGAATTCATTCTGTGATATTAGCCCATTTTTAAACAAACATGATCATAACCGCTTCCCCAGTACAGGTGAAGGCACGTAAGCTAACAAAACAGAGGAGAAAAAGTTGACATTTGCTACCAAAGTCCATATTTGCTGACTTTACACTGCTTGACTGAATAGAATTACAAGGTATGAAAGTTAATACATTCTGTTTTTTTCCTGTATTGTCGTGCTGTGTATATTTCAGTGTGCGATGTGGTAAGCCAAGCTGATGTAGGTCCGCTTCTCAGCATGTTTGCTCAGTACTCGGTATGCAGTGTTTTATTGAAAATAAAAGTTGTCTGCAGGGCTTTTCATGTAGCAGGTCAGTCTGACCAAGTGTTTTTGTAGAGTGTGAGCATGTAAATCACAGGATTTGTCTCTACACGATGGTCTATTCAATAGTACAGTTTGAGTCACCAAAGAACAATATAAACTGGCTTTACACGGCATCCAATAACAGCTTAACCAGCCAGCCAAAGAACTTCAACAAGGCATAAAACTCTGCGAGTGAGCTCCATGGGTGTATTAGCCTCAGATGCGATTCCTGCTGTCACTGTGCTACAGAGACTGTTGTTGAAAGAGACTGATGAGAAGCAGGAGAACAAAACTATGAAACATAGTTTACTTACAGCTATACAGAAGTACTTTTCAGACGAAAGCCAGACTCTTCTGCAGCGCTATTCATTCCACAATAATTAATGTAGCAAAGCTATCTAAATTTAATTATTTAATTTTTAAGGTACATTGCACTCATTTATGCTAACAACTACTTAATTGTAAGTAGGTTTAGTCATTATGGTATCAGACTCTGTATCAGTACTCAGTCTCAGGTATTGAGGCATTTAAACATTTAAAATCATAACATTGAAAAATAGGGCAGCTTTGAAAGTATTCAATGCATTAAAAAACATTTTTCCAAAACATTTTTCTCAAACGTCACATGGCACAACTAACAACACAAGAACATTTATTCTGACATACTGTTAGGAATAGGCAGCGTTTTGCATCGTTAAGAAGACCCTCAAGAAATTCATGGTGCAATGCCCAGGTCAATAGCCCTCTCACAAATATTGAAAAAAATGTCATTTTTCAAACAAGTGGTGTGATGAGGAAAACAATGAAAACAATAAACAATAAATCATTGTAATAATGTTGATTTAATTGAGAAAAATGTATGTATAAACCTGAGCAAAGGGCAGAGTTTTATACAGGTATCCAATTACAAAAACTAGTTTATAGATGTTTGCAGTAGTAGTAAATAGCTTTTAAAAATGTGTTATTTATGTCAGCACCACCTGACATTTTCTGGGTAGTAAAATTGCCGATTCTATTTCAAAATGAATTTATACAATTTAAAAGCCATGAAACCAGTATCAACACATTGAAAAGATTTTTGCAGAAACAGTTCACGTCACGTCCTTTAATAAGATTTTTTAAATTAGCATTTTAAAGGCCTAATTAGCCATTCACCCAAATACATGAATCATAAAGCAGGGGAAAAAAAGCGCTCCTCATAAAAACTCAGCGTGACATTTCAGCCAGCAGGGCCTTTGTCAGATGCCTTCATCAGAACAAACAAAAAGACATGCATAATACAAATACTACCCACTTAAACAAGAATATTAATCAAAAGAGATATACTTTAAAGCCAAAAACACATATGACTGGTAGAATTGGTAGAAAATTCAGGGCCATCAAAATCAGCACAGCCAGACGTGCTAACAGCTTTCCCCCAGAGCTGTAGCACTCATTAACGACAGTGGACACCTCACACTTTATACTTAAACTAAACCATCAAACCTCCAAACCTCTGTAACATAATACTGTTTGCACAACTGTACAGATGTTACCTTTCTGCAAATACTTGTAACATTCTGTAATATTCTGTATCTAATAGTTTTATAGTATATGTCATCAGACCTTAACATGTATAGATATTCTTATCTGCATATGTCCAGATATTCACACATCTCTTTAGCGTCTCTCCAAACCTCTTTGTGTTGTAGTGTTTTTTATTTTTTTTCCCTTAGCTGAATCGTTGTTAACAGATTGTTTGCTTGTCTTGTCTGTTTAGTGTGTTACATGTCATACATGTGTCATCCACCAAGACAAATACCTTGTATGTATAACGTACTTGGCAAAATAGTGATTCTGAACTCCAGTGTATCTTTAAAGGGAAGTACACCTTCACAGTTTTTTGCTTTATTGTTCTGAGACTATCAATCTTTGTTGTTTTTCTAGTTCTGATCTGACATTTTGAACATGAAGGGTATGGGTGACAGGACTGTAGGCTGTCTGATCTACTCTACTACTATAGAAGAGTCCTGTATTACTCTTGTGCTGTACCTCTTTCACTTTTGACACTCCCTCCCCCCATCTGAGTTGTAGCCTTTCTGTGCCTGTGACATTTAAAGGGCTTTAGACAGCCCTCTCTCTCTCTCTCTCTCTCTCTCTCTCTCTCTCTCACTCACACATACACACAAACTCAGTATGATCGTATCTCTCTTTCCTTTACTGTTCATGTATGAAGTAGAGGTTTGCAGTAGTCGTTGCTATGTGAAAGTGAAAACAAAATTCTGTTGTAATGCAGATTCCATCTCATTTCCTATTGCACTTGATCTTCCCTCATTATATTTTTGCTTTCAATCTCTCTGCCTAAGATTATGTGCATGCATATTGCATGTTTTATCTGTGATTGTGTGTATGTTTATGTCTGCAACCCTATGGCAGTTTCACACCTCTCTCACAACTGTGAATATGTGCTTTGATTACAGAACGTGGCAAAGGCAGACAGAGGCAGGCCATACTAGGGGAGCATCCGTCCTCCTACAGCAACAACGGTTACGGTCAGTCTTCATCTCTCACACACATACGCACACATAGATAAATGTTTGTTTTTATACACTGCCGAGATGGTGGGTCATTCACATGTTTCATTCATCAGTAGCTTTTTGTAATAATGATATTATATATAGTCGCTGTCTGAAAAACAAAAGGTTAAGGGAACAACATTTTTTTCAAGACATTTTGGACCATTTTGGTTGGTCTGTCATGAAATTTTAACACAGGACAGAGTAACTGGAGTATATAAATAATGCACAAAAATAAAAATCAACAGAAGTGAAGTAGAAGGTTTTTGTGCAAAAGCAGTATGTGCGTATCTGTATGCAATAATAAAATGCCATATATGTTTTATATGTAAATACCTATATGTCATATTTGTATGTTCTGTATGTATTACATATATGTAAGTACCTGTATGTAATTATATGTAATATTATATGTGTAATATGTACTATGTAATACATACACTTATTTGTAATAGTAAAATGCCTCATAAGTATTAGATATAAATTACTGTATGTAATAATAATATGTTCTGTATGTACTGTATATATGTAATTCATACATGGAATATTACTATGTTCCATATGTACTATATATCTTGTTGCTCTCCAAAAATACATGTCCAAAATAGTAACTTTACAGGATAAGGCCAAAACATTTGTAAGAAATAATACGTGTTCTGAGTTTGTCACACCACACCAAAATGTGTTATTAACCAACCAGCCAAATTTCAGTAATGAAAAACATTGCGAAGTATATAAAACTAGGTTTCAAAATCACAGAAAAATAAGCAGTATTCTCTGCTCTGATACGCTGGTGGCGTGTCCTCTGAAGGTGGCTGCACCATGTAACTGCTGCACCATTTAAGGTGGAGCAGAAAATTTGAACAAGAAGCTGACGAATAGGAAGCCGACTTCAGCTTCATATTAACATTAGCATATCCATTAGCTCGCTAAGTTGGGCAGTAAAGCCTCTCCTGGATTGAAATGAAGCCGCTAGCAGCTGACTAGCTGACAAACAAACAGAATAAACTCCATCTAGCAGCTTTATTGGACTTCTACAGCCATGCATTTTTGAGCTACCAGAGCCAGAATCCAATTCGGAGCCAGAGGACACTGATCTACCTGAGGATCAACCTCGTTCCTCTCCTGGTAATTTTTTTCCCCCATTTTTGCAAGTTAGAATCAGGTATTACTGACTAGCATAACCAAGTAATGTTAGGCTGGGAGAACCGCTAAACCTAATGCGCTCTAGTTTATTACTGACTTGCACAACCTTGCCAAGTAAAGTTCGGCTGGAAAAACCACTGATACTAATGTGCTCTAGTTGTTTTAACATTATAGTCTTAGGGGAAGAGTCATGGTTCCACTATGGCTCCAGTGCGTCATCGAGCCATCATTTCAGGCCCACTCAAAAAAATCCTAAAGAAATGGTCTTAATTGTTTATGGTTTAACTCCACAATTCAGGACGACATAGTTCACAGTCTTTTCACATGGTTTCAGTAGTTATTTTTTAACATGTAGAAGGTGTTTCGAAACAAATCATTCTGCTGCCTCTACAGTCTCCCAAATTGCTTGATAGGACAAGAAAAAAAACTTTAAATTTTAATCGAAGTATCAAGATTTTTTCCAAGTCATTTTAGACCATGTCTGTTGGTTAATTTATCCTCACATTTTAACACATTGTAAAGGGCAGCTGCTATTCTCAAATCTTGAAAAAAAAATGAAAACAACAAAAACAGAGGTACAAGGTTTCAACAGCATCAATAGCCATTTGCACTATATGGCTAAAAGAATGTGGACATCCCTTCTAATGATAGAATTCAGATGTTTCAGCCACACCCATTGCTAACACGTGTATAAACTCAAACACATAACCATGTAATCTCCATAAACAAACACTGGCAGTAGAATGAGTCATACTGAAGAGCTTGGTGACTTTAAATGTGCCACTGTCATAGCATGTCACCTTTGCCACAAGTCAGTTTGTGAAATTTCTGCCCTGCTAGATCTGCTCTGGTCAGCTGTTAATGCCATTATTGTGAAATGGAAGTGTCTATGAACAACAACAGCTTAGCCACGAAGTGGTCACAGAGTGAAATTCACGGACTGAGGCAGCTGAGTACTGAACCACGTAGTCTCACTTACTACATTGTTCTGTAGTGCCTCTGGCCTGACCCCGTAGTTCCAGTAAAGGATAATGTCAGTGTTGCAACATACAAAGACATTTTAGTCAGTTATATTCTGCCTATTTCAACTTTGTGACAACGGTTTGGGGAAGTCCCTTGTCTTTCCCAGCATGACTGCACCCCTGTGCACAAAGCAAGCTCCATAATGACATGGATTGACAAGTTTGGTGTGGAGGAACTCTAGTAACATGCACAGAGCCATGACCTCAACCCCACTCAACACCTTTGGAATGAACTGGTACATCTGTTATGAGCCAGGCTTTCTCATCCAACATCAGTGCCTGACAAATGTTCTTTTGACTGAATGGGCAAGAATTCCCACAGACACACTCCAAATTCTTGTGAAAAGCTTTCCTAGAAGAACGGAGGCTGTTATATTTGCAAAGGGAGGCCAAGTCCATATTAATGCCCATGGTTTTGGAATGGGATGTCTGACAAGCTGTGATGGTCAGGTTTCCGCATATATTCGGCTGTCTAGTTTATCTGTCTAATAATCATGTGCCCATGTACATAACTGTCCTTATGTAGTAAGAGTTTTCTAAGCCTGACCTCAACCCCAGTAACCAAAAAGAAATGTTTTGCCCTTTCAGGTATAAAAATGTACAATGTTACAACCACATTTTTAATCCTGTAGGTTAGCCCTGTTTTTCTTTAGTTTTCTTCAGAACAATTCTGTCCTGAAAACGTACAAAAACACATACACAAACACCACTCATCTTTGTCGTCTTTTTCCCCCTCCTCTCTTCCTGTGTTGCTCTGCAGCTGTTTCTCAGTTTGGGTGATTAAGCTCGATCACCTTTTACCACACAGATAAGGAGGTGGGAGAGAGGGATGGAGGGATGGATGTGGAGGAGAGACAGAGGAGAGAAATGAAGTAGGGAGGATGGGGGGGTGGCGGGGGATGAGATGCTGGTCTGCTAAGCATGGTGTAATTAGCACGGGAACCGGAGTGCATCAAACTAGAAAATAGTGTGTAATTTCTCTCTCTCCCTTTCTCTCTCTCTCTCTCTCTCTCTCTCTCTCTCTCTCTCTCTCTCCCTCTCCCTCTCTCTTTTTTTTCTCTCTCATTCTCGTCTTTTTTGTTTCTGAGACATTGCACCACAATATAGAACAGCTGCTTTCTGCAACTGACAGGTCTTCCTTTCCCTTCTGTCTCTTCCTCTCTCTCTTTCTTTCTCTTTCTCTCTCTCTCTCTCTCTCTCTCTCTCTCTCTCTCTCTCTCTCTCTCTCTCTCTCTCTCATATCCCATATCCATGGCTGTCTAGGGTCACACTGCCCCCTGCTGCCATTGCCCAGTAACAACCGGTTCAAGAGGAGTTCCCATGAGGTGCCCGACGTGGTGGCATACCCTCTGCCCCAAACCTCCTCCTACATTGCCCACTCCTCTAGCTCTGTTGCCATGGTGAGTGGCCTGCATCCTACCAAGATGAACTGCACCCGCATCTTCAACCTCTTCTGTCTCTATGGTAACATTGAGAAGGTAAGTGAGACTTGAGAAGAATGATGCTGCTGTGTTTTGTCACTCACTTAACAGATAGTATTTCTGTCACATGGACATAGAAGAGCAAAAAACTGTCTTTCTGGTGTCAAGAATTGGTCACAAGTAGACATAAACTAAGCAGTATACACTTTGGGGCAGTTTCTCAAGTGCAGATTAAACTTAATAGGATTTATTATCTTAAAAAATCATTGACATTGCAGTTTAGCCCAAGACTAGGCTTTATCTGTGCCCATTTAATGGCCCGTTGAGGTCCAAAAGTTTGTAGACACATTTCTTCTGAAATTATGTTTGCCCCTCCTTTACTGCAGTAACAGCCTCTGCTCTTCTGGGAAGGATATACACTAGTTGTTGGAACATTGCTGTGAGGATTTGATTGCATTCAGCCACAAGAGCATTAATGAGGTTGGGTACTGATGTTGTATGATTAGTTATGGATCACAAACGCCACTGCTCTACAGCCCAGTGCAGGGGGGGCTTTTTAGCCCTCTAGATGACGCTTGGCATTGAACATGGTAACCATGTGCCGTTCTAGAGCGTCCCATCCTGTTGACGATGATTTTCTATTGTCCTGTGTCAGGAGTGGGTGCATCTTAAAGGGGAGGAATTCTCTAATTTGATGGAGTGTCTGGATACTTTTGGACATACAATGTAACCATGCAATAGTTCTGAGAGTAAAAGTTCAGTTTTTTGTGAGAAAGGCTGCTGGTGATGTGATTCATGTATGTTTTTAGGTGAAATTCATGAAGAGTGTGCCAGGCACAGCCCTGGTGGAAATGGGAGATGAATACGCAGTTGACCGTGCCATCACACACCTCAACAGCATCAAAGTCTTCAGCAAGAGGCTCAATGTTTGGTATGAACGCTTTTCATTTACTGACAAAAAACACTGCAACTAGAGATAAATTAAAAGGCAAGGACTCAAGGTTGTCAATTGTTCTTGGCATTCATTTATTTTTATATCACTTTTTGTTCAGTAATTAAGCTTGTGATGCAAGATAAATTTACATGGCAAGTCTACTTTATCTTATCCTAATGCACAATATTTGACCTACACCGCATTTAGATTGGAACATGCCTAAATAGCAGTGTAGCAACTAGCAGCACTTAGTAGCACTTAGTAGCACCTTTAGTAGCTTTTATTTGATGTTAGGCTCGCTTGCATTTTGGTCAAACTTCAACGGTTCTTTTAAAAATCTGTTTATCGTGAGGTACACTACCATTCAAAAGTTTGGAATCACTGTTTTGGTTTAATATAAAGCAAATTTTGTTGCAGGTGCATGTAAAAAAAAAGGTAGAACTGTGAAATAAGGAATCACAATTAATCACATTTGGCTTATCTGCTTAAAGTTCACCCCCGCAAACGATTTTTCTATTTATAAAGCAATATAGTCCTTCATCAGTGGTCACAGGACGCTGCCCAAAGGATTCTGTTGGCTGGATATGTTTGGTTGGTGGACTATTCTTAATCCAGTAGTGGTGTTGAAAAACTCCAGCAGCACTGCTGTGTCTGATCCACTCGCACCAGCACAACACACACTAATGACAATGTCACTGCAGTGCTGAGAATGATCCACCACCCAAATAATACCTGCTCAGTGGTGGTCCTGTGGGGGTCCTGACCATTGAAGAACAGGGTGAAAGGGGGCTAACAAAGTACTCAGAGAAACAGATGGACTACAGTCTGTAATTGTACAAAGTACAAAGTGCACCTATATGGTAAGTGGAGCTGATACAATGAATGTAGATACAAGGAGGTGTTCCTAATAAAGTGCTTGGTGAGTGTATATATATATATATATATATATATATATATATATATATATATATATATATATATATATATATATATATATGCAATAGCGTTGTTATGTGTCACTAGTGAAATGACTAAATTAGTGAAATGAAGACGTTGAGTGTTGAACTGTTCTTCTACTTATTACCAGGTTGCCTCGGAGCTTCCGCTCTAAGCTTCATTTTGTCTTTTTGAGTCTTCCTCGAGAGCCCTTCGGGGATGAGAGGACGTCTCATTAAATTGGCTGACTTCATCCATCAGAATAATTCACTGGTGTAGCACCAGATTCAGTTAAGAGCGGGTGTTGCGTGCAACAGCTACCGCGAGCCTTGAAAGCATTTCATTAACCAACTCAATTCTGCAAAGCCGCTGCACTTTTCATCCTCAGGATTTTTCAATATCAGATAAAGCAACAAGGATACTTCAGCCCACAGGACTATAAGCTTTTACATGTATTTACTTAAGCTATGCTTCTGCAACTTAAGCTATGCTGCGCTGCCACACTAGGAGGATATGTGCTGACCGTAAGCACAGTGTGGATTTTAAAGTAAGTAAAGTGCATTCCAAGTTGAAGGGCAAGTAGAGAAAAAGGTGTAGCTCTCTTTTTGTCCTCCCTGTCTTCTTTTCTTCTAGCTGGGAGCCTTGTCTCCTTTCTCTGCCTTTTTACCTCTGGTTGTTGTCATTGAAAATGCTCTGAATTGCTGTGGTCCAGTCATTTCTGAAGGATAACCTTTTTCTCTTTTGTGTTACTTCTCTCCACTCTTCCGTCATTCACCATGTCTGTGTTTTTCACCTTTCTCTAATCAAAATGTCTGTCATTTGCTGTCCTCTGTCTTCCTCTGTGCACTCACTCCTCTCCCCTCGCATGCTTAACCCTTTAATGCTAAAGTTAAAAAAGAGGTTATTTCTGCCTTTAAATAAACTCTTCTCTTTTAATAAAATGAGAATCATGTTTATTTTGGTATGTTAAGAACATCATGTAACAAAAACCTGTAGAAAACAAAACTAGATTTTTTATTTTGTTTATGTCACAGACTGTCAGCAATTATGCAGTACTCTACAATAGTCAGAGATCACCCCCAGTCACAATGGCCATTGAGTACACATTATTCATTTTTCATCTGGAAAAAAGCTGGAAACATACATTTCAAAGAAAATTACACAGAATCGTCAGCAGCTATATACAATATTTTTTGGTATTAGGTGTGTCCACACTCCACAAGGATAGTTTTCCGCACCTCTGAAGTCTTATTTCCTTTTCTCAGTAACAGCTTCTTGACAGCTACACATCCCTTCAGATCTATAGCATTGAGTTGTCTTCTTACAGTGAAGGATGGACAGAAACACCTGTGGATTTTTCAGGTCTAAAGTAAAAGTGGAGCTTGATTTTCTCCTCTGTCTCAAAGATAAAAGCTTTAAGTGCTGTTTATCTGATGAGGACGGTCTTGGCGATCTTCCAGGTTTTGCATGGTTGTTAGAAGTCCCGTTTTCTCTGTATCTTTTAATCATTTTTCTCCTTTAGCCATTTTAGGAAATGAGAAAGAAATTTGAAGGCAGCTAAGGTTTGTTTGGGTAGTTGCATGAGTGAATGGTGTCTTTTTGAAGGGGAACATAACGTCAGTGTTCGTGGCCAGCTTTTGTTGGGAGGACACAGCAGTTACTCGTTGGTTTTAAGATTGAAAGGATGGAGGTGTGAAAGTGGCAGTATGTGCACAAAAGCAGTGGACAAATTAAATACTAATAGATTTGATTTTATACTGAGTGTTGGAAGCTTTTGTGTAATTTTCTGTTAAAGATTTATATTTTGTTTGTGTTTTTTTTCAGACACTATATTGTATCTAATGGTTGTTTTGGCTGGACATTGAATAAATGGAAGGGTGGTCTCTGACCTTTGCACAGTACTGTAAATTCAGTTTGGGAGTGTACTTTACACTTTACACTTCACCTCTTATTGATTATGACATTGTAATAATAACCTCCTACTTAGCCAGGCTTGTTTTGAATGTGTAATAAAGTGGAATTTTAGCACACTAGACTTGTGATATTATGTGCAGCACGCCATTGTCTGATCGTGTCTCCTAGCTATTGCTAGTTGACAGTACTGTCATAGGGACTGGTTAGGCAGGACACATTCCAAAAATGTGAAGTAGCCTAAAAACTACTGTTACTATAATAGCTATACATTGTCTTTTTTGTTTTTGCTAACCGATGTAATCACAACATAAAAAACGCTTAAGCCCATGTTCATGTTTTGTGAAGGAAGCTATTCGATGTGTGGAAGGCTGCAGCACGGCTTTATCAGATTAACAAACACGACAACGGTTGTCATTCGGCTCAAGCCTATAGCACACAGAACCCTCTATTTCACATGCTGATGCATTTTACCGTGTCCAGTGCAGATATGAATGCGGTTCAACTACTCTGGGGCAGATTTTAATGAGTTACAGTAGACAAAGACAAAGCTTCTCAACATATTGCAGACAATATGTTTGGTAAGATAGGGTTAATTCTCCCTCTCTCTTTCCCCCTTCTCTCTCTCTCTCTCTCTCTGTCTCTACAGTGTGTCCAAGCAGCATGCAGTCATCCCCAGCCAGGTCTTTGAGCTGGAGGACGGCTCCAGCAGCTACAAAGACTTCGCCATGACCCGCAACAACCGCTTCACCAGCGCCGGGCAGGCCTCCAAAAACATCATCCAGCCACCCTCCTGCGTCCTGCACTTCTACAACGTCCCTCCCTGCATCACCGAGGACGACCTGCTGAGGGTCAGTGACTCTTCAGACAGCAGAATAAAGCACAGAAGAAAAGCTCTGATGCCATAAAAGCCCAACTGGAGGAAGATACAATGTGGAGAAAGAGCACAATCCTTGCTGCAGCTGTTAGCCTTCTGATCCACCCACACTTAGTCCTTGTCACCCACTGTGGTCATTACGCAGCATCTTTTGAGCTCCGATAACATTTAAGGGTGTTACAAATGGCTGCTTCAAACTAGTCGACCCAATGTGCCTGCTCACCATGATAAATGAATGGAATCATTGCTCGTACCCTATATTTTGTGCAGGGGCTTTGGTGTCATGGTTGTATCGTATAGAAAATACTAATTGTCTAAGAAAAATGTGATTTGTATTGTGTTGCTCAAAAGATACTGGAGAAATTGAGCAAGGCTGTTGTTTTTTTGTTTTATCAGAACATCCCTCTAGTGGGCTTTGTCTGTTATTGCAGCCTCGTGACAGGCAAACATTCACTGTCTTATTGATCTCTTCCAGTTATGCACGGAGCACGATGTGCCAGGCTTCATCAAGTTTAAAATGTTCGATGCCAAACGTAAGTTACTCCGTAAGAAAACCAGATGTAGTCAGTCAACCAAGGTGTGTTTGGTGTCCATATTTTTCCATATCTTTTAAGTCAACAGTCACTCAGATCTTTTTTGTACATACAAACGAAGACCTGGATGCAGTTTGAGCAGATTTGAGAAGTTTTGAGGATGTGTTTACTCAAAAAGATTTCGGTGACTATTGACTTCTAGTGTTTCTTAGCAAAGTTAGCCTCATTGTTCCTTTGCTAATCTAAACAAGCAAAATTTGGACACCAAACATGTTTTGGCTGATCGACTGCATTTGGGGTTAAGTGGAAAATTGTGTAAATTTGATTTTTTGCTGGAGCATTGCTTTAAAGAAATATCACTGTGTTTTTCAACCCAATCTGTATCGTCAGTTATTTGCCACAGTCAGTAATTTCAGTACCTTTCCCTCTATTTCCCTCTAACTGCACTCAATTCCCGCTTATAGTAAAAGTCAATGTGCAGTTGTTTTATCAACCATATACTGAAGATGTGTTGGATAAAGATGAAGTTGTTTTCATTTAGTATTCATTTAAATCAGATAATGTTTTATTGTTTACAGTGTAATATTAAAGTATTAGACGTGATAAATAGTTTATTTTTCTTTTAAGCTTTTCTATTTTTTTAGTGGACAGAAAACATTGCATGAACCATGAATAATGGATTGTATATTTTGATACTTTGGGACTGATGACCTCAATCCTGTCTTACAGCGAGCTCCAAAACCATCTCGGGGCTACTGGAGTTCGACAGCAAGACCCACGCAGTGGAAGCCCTGACAGTCCTCAACCATTACCAGATCAGAATACCCAGTGAGTAAAGGACACCTCTTCAGCCACCTGGCCACTGTGGTTTGGCTTAGGCCTCACCCACTGCTTTCATACGTGCTGCCTCACTGTAATACTACTCTCTACTTATCCTCTCAAAGGCAGACACATCCCTCTTAACCTCTGCGGTGTTGTGTGATGCACATTGCCTTTGAATTTGCCCTGCACACTTAATATTGTGGCAGGAAATCTGATGCGACTCCTTGTAATCCATAGTCACAGCAGGTGTTTTCTTTCTGTGCCACCGACAAAGCAAACAAAGACGCCTGCTGCCGGGCCTTTTGTACATTTGCCTGGAAGGCACTGCATTAATCTTCTAAAATACCAGTCACTGTGTGTGTGGGTTCTTGGATTTATGATCATATTATAACTGAAGACAGTTGCATGTTAAATAGAACCTCAGTAGCTTGCTCAGTTTAATTCACGATATGGGACCAAGAAGGGAAAAAGTCTTGATGCCATAACATGTGCTTAGTGTTCAAACAGCTCCAGATATAGTCATAAGTCTTATGTTTTTGCTTGAGCATGTTCAGGGGTCATGGAGGGTCATCAGTGAACAGGATTCTTTAAAGTGAAAATGGTAATAGCATGCTTTTTTTCCCTGTCCAAGAAAGAGATGCTCCGCTATGGTGTGTCTCTTTTTTATTTTAGTGCTTTCAACCCAACTCCTAGCATATTCTAGATCAAAAAAGAGACTTAGCACAACAGCTATGAAACCAAAATCAGCTCCTTCATTGTATGACCATTTTAAAATCTGTTCATTTGTATTGCCTAAAGCATTGCATCTGCTTCTTACCTAGCCAAGACACTACAACAAGTAAAATTATATTACACTTACTGACCACATAGGCTGTTAGGTGTACTTATCTTGTGTCTACACTCACTGTACACACTATTAGACACACTTAGCTTGTTGGTCCACGATGTAGATGTAAAGTCAAAGATGATAGCTTATATGTTGCTGCACAGTTTGTGTTGGTCATCCTCTGCTCCACCATCAGTGGTCAGTTTCTGGCTACAGCATGCTGTTGGCTGGTTGTTGAACTGTTCTCAGCCCAGTAGTTTGGGTGTTACGTTTTGGTATTTTCACAATATGATTACCTAATCAAAAATATCAAGGGTTGATGGCATCACAGTATTAAGCAACCATTCAAAAACACAAGAAGGTGGTAAAATTTAAAGGAAAAATGCTAATTAAATATGAACATCACCAGTATCCCATGCTGCAATTAAAGATACTACACTGGCATTTTCCTTGAACATTAGTTATAGACATTTTTTTTATCTTTGTGTGAAATGAGGTCTTCAAGTCCAAATAGCTTTGACAGAATAGCTTTTGACAAAATAGTGGATAGCCTCAAGTATCTATTGTTTTGTTTAGATTTGTAGGCCTCTGTGTTGTTTCAAGTAGTGATTCTCAGTGCTGAGAATGATAAACCCCCCTGATAATACTTGGTGGTCCTGTGGAGGTCTTGACTATTGAAGAACAAAATTAGAATAATTTTCTAGTAGAAAACACACAGAAATATGGCATTTTCTGCAGTTTTTATGGACAATTTCTAATCATTTTGCTGAGTGATACAGGGGTAAAAAGTAAAAATGTTCCATGCTTTTTGCACAGACCACATTTTATTAGTTTTTTAGTTTAGTTATTAGTTTTTTTTTTTATTCAGTAAATAAACAGTAATTGTGCCGTATAATGTGTTTCCTGTAGAGGATGTGGGCTTATTTTCAATCAACAATATACAGTTGCACTCAAAATTATTCAACCCTCACTGACACAGTAGGGATTTACAAAATTGTGTTACAACACACTTAAGCCTTTGGGAACTCTATAATGACAATTAATTTGCTTCAGATTTGATACATATATAAACCCTCCCATGCATGTGTTCAAGCTCAGCAGCAAACATAGCAAAGAAAAAGGAGCTCTCACAAATGCTAAGAAAAAAGAAACATGATTTAATTGCACCAAAAAGGCAGTGGCTACAAGAAGATGGCCCAGACAATTGAAGTTCAGAAAGACACAGTTGAAGATATGTAAGTTTGCAACTCATGGTAGAGCAGCAAACCTATCTGAACGTGGAAGAAAGCAAAATTTCACCAAGAGGAAACAGACGTATAAACAGAACGGCTGAGAATAACCCTTGCATCACTGCCAAAGTCTTGCAGTATGACCTAATAAAGACAGGAACAAAATCTGTGAACATGATAGGTTACCTGGACACATTGCTGCACAACACTCTTGACCAAAAAGTACATAAGAGTCAACCTGAATATGCAAGTAAGGAATTTGGACAGGCCTGTGGAGTTATGGGAGACAGTTTTATGGACTGATGAAATTCATTTGGAATTGTATGGACCCATAGATCAGCAGCATGTCTGGTATATAAAAAGGAAAGCAATCTTGACCGTTTGACTGGCATCATGGATTCTTTGAAATACCAGGCCATTTTGGAGAAGAACGTGGTGTCTTCAGTGTAAATTGAAGCTTGGTGGTCTTTGGACTTTCCAGCCAAACAATGATCCCAAACATACATCCAAGTCAACCAAAACTTCGTTCAGAGATCAGTCCTGGAATGTCCTTGAGTGGCCATTTCAGTCCCTGGATTTAAATCCCATTGAAAATCTTTGGTGGGATTTGGAGAAAGCTGTGGTGGCACAAAAACCAAGGAACATTAATGAGCTGGAAGCTTTTGCACATTAGGAAGCATTTATTGGAAGTTATGAAGTGTAAAGGATGCACCACAAAATACTGACTTTGAGGGTTGAATAATTTTACTTGGTTTATAGATTTTCATTATAGATTTTCATGAAATTATATTTATATTGCCAAACCTGAGATAGACACACAGACAGACAGACAGACAGAAGTGTTCTGTCTGAGTAAACATGTCCACCTAGAAAATAGTGTGTCATCCCCTCATGAAACATCTCCACTGCAATGAGAGTTTAACTGGGTGTTTCTCCACAGATGGCTCCAACCCCTACACCCTGAAGCTGTGCTTCTCCACCTCCTCCCACCTCTGAGATGGAGCAGGGGGACACCCACTCCAGACCACTGCGCTGTTTACATGGGATGATAGAAGAAGGAAGGGCTAAGGAACGTGAGGCGAGCGGAAGGGAACGGGGGATGATGCACACTGTCATGGCCCTTAGTGTGAGGACTCCAAGCGCAAAACACTCAAGAACCATTTTCTTCTTTTTTCTGACTCTTACACACTTTCCGTCATCCTTTTCGACAGCTGTCTCAGACTCTGGTGTAACCAGAAACCGACTGACTTCATGATAAATGAGACATGATGATGTCATCCCAGCCAATCCTAATTGGCCACTGGCACTGAAGCTATGTTTCCCATGGCAACCGCAGCGAGATGAAATGAACAGGGATGTGTTTTTTGTTTGTTTTTGGTGTTTAGCCAAATCCTTTTTTTTAATGTTTTGTTTTCTGTACTCTACAGAATGTACAAAGCCCAATAATACAACACCGTATGATTTATTGTTATTCTAATGTTACTGACCTGATAATTAGCTGGATGAACCACTCAATGAATCTAACCGATGTGGTGTAATGAGTATGCGTAGACCTAGAGAAGAAGATAGAGGTGCCTGGGAAACGAGCAACCTGTTAATAGACTGTAATTTAGATTCTTCTGTGATATTTATGTGTATAGATAACGAGTGAGTCATGAGGTCATTATGAGAATTGCTGGGGCACAAGGGGCCTGATTTGATAAGCCGTGTATAGCCAGTGCAAACACAGTAACATGCTCTATGTGTGGTTAAACTATTCTTGGTGACCAGCTACTAGTTTTACCGAAAGCACCAGTCAAGATCATGTGCTAAAGGCTTCATTAGGGTTGGCCCCTAGTGCTTTTATTAATGATTATCAATAGTGGGGATGAGGTGTTAGCTGTACATGACACTGTTGCTCCATAGCCAGACAAGATGACTTATAAAGGTATCTGAAATTGCCTGTGCCAGTAATTGGAATGTTTACACATCTACTCGGTTTGTTTGATGGGTGGCAGGCCACGTAGTAGCGCTGCACAACAAGGACAAAATGCTAGTATCATATTGTTGAAGTCATGCAGCATTCTGTGGTCTGCGTCTTGCCCATGTGAGGAACTCCAGGTCTAAGCAGATTTTCTGTATGAGAAAAATGAATAATACATTTTGTATTGTGCACATTTACCCCCTGACTGTTACTGGATCTTCAGAGTTATGAGGTAATTTTAGCAGTAAAAATACAAATAATGCTACACAAATTACAAGCATCCTGACAGTCCCACACTGAAATTAAGTCTGCTATTAAAACCTAATTCCAAAAAGGTTGGGACAGTAGGTTAAATGCAAATAATATTAGAAAGCAGTGATTTCTTAATCTACTTTGACCTGTATTTGAATGAAAAAGTACAGTTTTCTAATTGCTCCTTTGGTTTTATTAGCATAGCACTGTCTCAGTGTTTTGGGAATTGGGTCTGCATATGATGTCAATTCAGTGTACAGCTGTGTATGTACCAATATTCAGAATTTAGCTCCTTAACAACCTCATAATTCAGAGGATCCTGCGACATTTGAAGAAAAAATGTCGCTGGAATATTTTTGTTTACCTCAGGGTGCAATAGTAGTGATTTTGAAAATGCCATTAAGTTTTATCATAGAGAGAACCAGTTTAGACCCAGAGTTTCTAATAGGGCATGACACCAATTACTTCAGAGGCCTATCGTGATTGCAATTCACTTTCCAATATATTAAAAACTCCTCAAATTGATAATGTGACATGGCTAAAAAGACTAGAGAGCATTGTTTTGACCAAAATAATGTACTCTTGTTAAATACCTCGAATCATCAAAACACTCACAGAAACACTCATCTTAAACTGTGATTGGTCAAAATGCTCATGGCATACGACAGTAAAAATCATTGTGCCTCGTTCACCAGCCGTTCTTCCTCAAACCCACTTAGTTTTCATGAAGAAATTTCTTCTTAAGAACAGTTGATGAGTTACGACCATTGTGATGTTTAGAGATGCTTATTTGCATTGTGCAGACCATTATTGCAATAATGTTGAACAAGTAATCTATTGTGTAGCCTTTGCCTTTTTGAATGGGTGCAGAAAGGAATTGGGAACGGCTAAACTAAAAAAATTAAAACAGGCAAGAAAGTTCTTGAAGTGTGAACTCCGTACTACACGTAGTCTAACTGTGGAGCACAGTGGGATAACAGCTGTGGGAGGAGCCTTGCAGATCCATAAGTCATGTGTACGGTATTCTCAGTTTACTTGTCCATGTGTGTAATTGGCACTTCACCACATCTGCAGTTCACTGTGAGCATGTCCAGCCATTAAAACATTTGCCAGTTGACATGTCTGCCATTTATTACTCTTTAAAATGATAGGTTCAACATTTTGTCGCTGTCATATCAACACTGTAACTTTTTGGGTTTTGTTTTCTTTACTCTGTTTGAAAATGTCAGCTGAAGGGTCACGTGAACATTTTATGACGGATGGATCCATCTAAATGGTCCACGATTACTTATCACATGAGCGTATATATAACATTTTTCCTCAGAGATGGAAAGTTTTGTTACAACAATGTGTTAAAGAAATGTTGAACATGCACTGTGTAAGATTTTGGGGATTTGGAGACCTCTCTGGTGGAAATGTGTAATTGCACACAACGTGCAAAAGAATGTGTAACATGGGTTGTGATTTGGACCACTTCCCTGAGTGAATGAATCTAATGGTTGTGAGCGCATTGAAAGAGTTTTCAAAGAGAACTCAGTAAAACTTGGTGAAGGACGTGTCTTCCGAGGATGTAAGTAAATTAACTACTGTTGTCATCATATTGTACCAATGTATAAAGTATAATACAGTATAATATTGATTTTCCATTTGAGACCTAAACATCAAGCCGGACCTTTTTTCTTCTTTTGCATGTGACGTTAATACGTAAAGGCAAACGCCATGATCCAAGAAACACCTGTGAAATCTGACCCAACACCTCTGAAACTATTCAATTTCTAATAAATATAAACTTAGTAATAAATTATTATTTCAGGTTTTGCAGGGTGACTTACAGCAGCGCATACACACCACATTTTAGCCTCTTTTTATTCTTCTGGCTCAGCTAGTTCTTTCAATTAAAAAAAATGTCTTACATAGTGCAGCTTAAACAGTCTCTACATTAAATAGTAAACCCAGCACTTTACCTTAGTTGTGACTTATAATACGAATATAAATGTTGTATGTTGTGTTTAAAGACTACAACGTCTCTCAGGAGTAACTGTCATCCCGTCTCTGCACTGGGATTATGGATACATCTATGAGTTATTTACACACTATCCTCATGTCAAACGTTTGACAGCATGCTTTACAGGAATGTGACAGCAGTGTGGATGACATGAGAGAGTCCTTGGCCCGGAGTTAAGTGTCTGCTGAAGACAACATGGTCTGGAGCGATCTCAGCGGTCAGTGCGGGAATTGAAGCTCTCTGCAGGTCCATCTGCTTCAGCAAGGCCCAGAGGCGGGGAGCTGCCTTCACTTATCATCCTCATTTCCTCCACTCTGACTCACCCTCTCTCTTCTTTCACTGTCCATTGGGGGGCTGAATCTCTGAGCTCGATTCAATTTGTTACGGATTCTGAACTGTTAGGAAACAGTTTGGTGCATCATATTGATTTTATGTAGTTAATTTTGCCAGAGAATTTCATTTTAACCCAAAATCACACATATTAATAGCTTCCATTTAGTTTAGTTTATTCGACAATAAAAACAAGATTACAAGATCCCAGCTTGTTTGTTATAACAGGATAAAGTGCCTTGGTTTTGTTGTTTTCTGAACAGTGAAGACAGCACATACATTCACAGCATCGAAAATAGGTTTGATTTTTGCTTATTTTAAAAAGTACTTTTAAAAAAATTATCATTTTTATGTAGTCAACCTACAAATCTCTGCTGCTAATGTAAACTTGTTTGCAGCACCTGCTGTTAAAGAACTATTTGTCCAGAATCAGAATGAGTGAAAATATTTAAGGTCCACACAACAAAATTCAAATGCATATTATTTACATTTTATCCGTAGCATGTTTTTGATGAATTTGTACATATGAAAGTCCAAGAAATGGACTGTTTCTAATTAATTAATGTGTGTGTATGTGGACGTCTCTCATTGTTTGCTGTGTTAAACTAACCCCACCGTGTGGGGGCTGTACTTTAGCCTGGGCAGCACCTACTATGAGTTGGTTGTGTGCTTCAAAATGGTGCTGTATTACAGCCACCAGGAAGGTGATTCAAATAATTAAATTCATCTTTATTATCATTTTACATATTCTGGGTTACAGTATAACAAAGCACCTCCAGGTTACTTCTCTAGTGCATAGACATTAAGACAAGAACAGTAGACACAATGTGTGCACAATACACTGGGCAGTGGACAAAGAGTGCACAGGTACTAGTGGGATAATAAACAGTGAATACAGTAAGTACACAAAACAACAATAAATACAGAATAAACTAAAGACGTGGATGAGTGCTGGTGGATATACAGAAAGTACAACATATGTGCAGCGTTCTCAGAGGTCCAGTGTGTAAATTATACCTCAGTGTTTAGTAAACAATGTTATGAATGTGTTCATTCCAATTATATAGGAAGCTGGGCAGCAGTTACATGGAAAGAGTTTGGAAGTAGATTAAAATGTATGTTGCTGTCAGGATAAAACCCTGTATCTCAATTTTTGTTTTGTTTTTCATTTTTTGACAGTCTAAAAATATCAGCTGTCCTTGACATTGTATTAAAATTTTCTGATGACCGGACCAGTAGAAATTGTCCAGAATTACCTAGAAAATAATTCTGGTTCTATTAACTTCAATTCACAATTAAGATTTTTCCATCTCCTGTAAAGTTAACAAGGTTTTGTCCCGACATTGTTGATACATAGTGTCCTGGTGGGCGGTGTGGGTGTGACCAGTTTGACAGCTTGAGAGTAGAACCTGTTCTTGAGCCTGGTGGTTCTGGCTCGAACGTTCTGGCATCTCTTCCATCTCATCCCAGATGGCAGCGGGTGGAACAGGACGTGGCTGGTGTGTGTGGGGTCTGAGGTGATACTGTAGACTTTCCTCAGACCTCTTTTATTGTAAAAAGCTGCAGTGATGGACTGGACAGTTTTCACCACCCTTTGTGGGACCTTACTAAAATAATGTAGGTGTGTAATTTATACAAACAAGGATTAAAAAATCACTCATGATGAAAAATGTTGCTTTTATTGTATAAAAACAGTCTTCAGGAATATTGAACATGGGTTCCTTAAGCTGCTGCATGGTAAACCAGAACCTGCCAACAGAGCCTAGCATGTAACACCTCGCTCATCTTCGTGCCTCTAGTCAAAGGAACATGCTCGTTCATACGGGCCCTCACATAACCTCACCATTAACCGTGTAGCTCTGGAGAAGAGCTTGAACTGCTAGTGCTGTTGTGGTGACTGTATTGGTCCTGTTTTCGCTCCTATAGATCATGAGTTCAGGGCTGGTTTAAAGGGCCCATATGATGATAAACTGAATTTCCCTCGCTTTTAAAAAATAAAGCAGTTTGAAGTAATACGTAAGTACTGGTAAAGTTTTATAACATGCCGCTTATTACACAGTCCATACAGTCCATATATAGTAACTGTGCTGCAACAATGGCCTATTTTGAATTTATTGTTTCTGTGATGCAGTGAGATCTCATTTACATAAATGGCACCTATTCATGCTACAGCAACATAGCCGTGCCTATTTACACTGAATTTCTATGCAATGTTTCACCTCTAAGTGCTTTTCGAAAGGCACAGTAAAGAGCAGCCAGTCAGAACAGAGCTCATTTACATATGTCAGTCATAGAGGCAGAGTAAGTAAAACAGCCCATTTAATTCTAACGGATAAAGAATGGTTGAAAAATGTAGAAATGAATTTTACCTGTTTTTGATACATAAAAACACAAAAATCTTGTAAGTGGACCTCAAGGAAAAACATTATTTAAGAAAAATGGATATGGGTTCTTCTTAAAACTGCTGATGTAGTGATGATTTGTATGTGTGCTTTGAACATTGCTGGAAAACAATTTAAGGGAACTAAAATGAAAAATTCTCAAATAATGTGCAATAGTCTACTGTTTCCTGTAGTTAGATTTCTGCACATTTTAGGCGTTAGAGGACCTTTATTTTGAATACAGTCATTACTTATAAGGACTATTCTAATTTTTGCATCTGCAATAGACTGTCCCTAGTTTTTGAGTGGTCGGAGGACTACCAAGGCCCCTGGTCTGATTGCTGTGAAAATTTGCAGATGACGTTGCTTTTATGTGTTGATTTGAAGAGTTTTTGATTTTTGGAATGGGGGGGTTAGTTTTCAAACAGAGAATTCAGCCCCTCCACCAAACACAGCATAGCAGCAGTTCACAGCCCCACAGACAGCCTAGTATTTAATATAGTAATATACTGCATTTAATATAGTAATATACTGTATTTAATATAGTAATATACTGTAAATATAGAATTTACTTTTTAACAGGCTTAGCAACCAAGACAGCTTTTATTTAGTTTCTGTCTGAAACTGATAAAAAGTAGAACATGTGGAAGATGAGAGCTGAGAGTCTACATTGCTAGCGGCAATCATTGGGGTCCAAGCATTAAGCAAGCCGTTCACTCTGTATTTGAGTCTCGGAGTGCACCAGAACAGTGCTTCCAGGCAGAGTGACAGTGAATTAGTTTCTGACCTTGTTACCTGTTTCACTGCTCAAGAGTCCGATTAAAATAACCAGATTCACACATCACAATGAATGCATTTTTACATCCCTAATATCGGTCTCTCCTTTATTCTCATACTACTCTGTCACTCTATCACTATTTCACTCTTCCCTCTATCCTCTACTTTCTCTTCCATCCCCTTCTTTCCTCCCTTACTGTTCCCCCGCTCCCTCTGGCCTTTCCTTATCAGCAGCCTTCATCTGTCACATTAGATTTGGATGACGGGGAGTGGATATATATACTAGCATGTCCGTTACTGTTAATGCTGGTTCACCTTTCACACTGCACTCACAGCTGAGACTAGACTAATTAAGTTTTTGGCTGCCAGTTAATTTCCTTCTCTTTCCTGGGAGTTTCCTGTCAGCTATAGATGGAGTCTCACTTTTTTCTCCCCGCCTATAAACAGCAGCCATATGTGTAACAGGTTGGTTTACTTGGGAGCAGCACGTCTGACATTGTTTACTGTTGGAGAGTCGTCCCCATGGCAAAGCAATATGTCAGCGCTCCTCCAGAGAGGCTTCAAAACGTGACCTGGTTTTCACGCAATGTCGGCTAAGGTCGGACCATTTCAGTGGGCTGTGTG